ACGACGATGTTGATGACGACGATGTTGATGACGACGACGTCGACGACGACGACGATGTTGATGACGACGACGATGTTGATGACGACGACGATGTTGACGACGACGACGATGTTGACGACGACGACGATGTCGATGACGACGACGATGTTGACGACGACGACGATGTTGATGATGACGACGATGTTGATGACGACGACGATGTTGACGACGACGACGATGTTGATGATGACGACGATGTTGATGACGACGACGATGTTGACGACGACGACGATGTTGATGATGACGACGATGTTGATGACGACGACGATGTTGATGACGACGACGATGTTGATGACGACGACGATGTTGACGACGACGACGATGTTGACGACGACGATGATGTTGATGACGACGACGATGTTGACGACGACGACGATGTCGATGACGACGACGATGTTGACGACGACGACGATGTTGATGATGACGACGATGTTGATGACGACGACGATGTTGACGACGACGACGATGTTGATGATGACGACGATGTTGATGACGACGACGATGTTGACGACGACGACGATGTTGATGATGACGACGATGTTGATGACGACGACGATGTTGATGACGACGACGATGTTGATGACGACGACGATGTTGATGACGACGACGATGTCGACGACGACGACGATGTTGATGACGACGACGATGTTGATGACGACGATGTTGATGACGACGACGTCGACGACGACGACGATGTTGATGACGACGACGATGTTGATGACGACGACGTCGACGACGACGACGATGTTGATGACGACGATGTTGATGACGACGACGATGTTGATGACGACGACGATGTTGACGACGACGACGATGTTGATGACGACGATGTTGATGACGACGACGATGTTGATGACGACGACGTCGACGACGACGACGATGTTGATGACGACGACGATGTTGATGACGACGACGATGTTGATGACGACGACGATGTTGACGACGACGACGATGTTGATGACGACGACGATGTTGATGACGACGACGATGTCGACGACGACGACGATGTTGATGACGACGACGATGTTGATGACGACGATGTTGATGACGACGACGTCGACGACGACGACGACGTTGACGACGACGATGTCGACGACGACGACGATGTTGATGACGACGATGTTGATGACGACGACGTCGACGACGACGACGATGTTGATGACGACGACGATGTCGATGACGACGACGATGTTGATGACGACGACGATGTTGACGACGACGACGATGTTGATGACGACGACGATGTTGACGACGACGACGATGTTGATGACGACGACGATGTTGATGACGACGACGATGTTGACGACGACGACGATGTTGATGACGACGACGATGTTGACGACGACGACGATGTTGACGACGACGACGATGTTGATGACGACGACGATGTTGATGACGACGACGATGTTGACGACGACGACGATGTTGACGACGACGACGATGTTGATGACGACGACGATGTTGACGACGACGACGATGTTGATGACGACGACGATGTTGACGACGACGACGATGTCGACGACGACGACGATGTTGATGACGACGACGATGTTGATGACGACGACGATGTTGATGACGACGACGATGTTGATGACGACGACGATGTTGATGACGACGACGATGTTGATGACGACGACGATGTTGACGACGACGACGATGTTGATGACGACGACGATGTTGATGACGACGACGATGTTGACGACGACGACGATGTTGATGACGACGACGATGTTGACGACGACGACGATGTTGACGACGACGACGATGTTGACGACGACGACGATGTTGATGACGACGACGATGTTGATGACGACGACGATGTTGATGACGACGACGATGTTGATGACGACGACGATGTTGATGACGACGACGATGTTGATGACGACGACGATGTTGACGACGACGACGATGTTGATGACGACGACGATGTTGACGACGACGACGATGTTGATGATGACGACGATGTTGATGACGACGACGATGTTGATGATGACGACGATGTTGATGACGACGACGATGTTGACGACGACGACGATGTTGATGACGACGACGATGTTGACGACGACGACGATGTTGATGACGACGACGATGTTGACGACGACGACGATGTTGATGATGACGACGATGTTGATGACGACGACGATGTTGATGATGACGACGATGTTGATGACGACGACGATGTTGACGACGACGACGATGTTGATGATGACGACGATGTTGATGACGACGACGATGTTGACGACGACGACGATGTTGATGATGACGACGATGTCGACGACGACGACGATGTTGATGACGACGACGATGTTGATGACGACGACGATGTTGATGACGACGACGATGTTGATGACGACGACGATGTCGACGACGACGACGATGTTGATGACGACGACGATGTTGACGACGACGACGATGTTGATGACGACGACGATGTTGACGACGACGACGATGTGATGACGACGACGATGTCGACGACGACGACGATGTTGACGACGACGACGATGTGATGACGACGACGATGTTGATGACGACGACGATGTTGATGACGACGACGATGTCGACGACGACGACGATGTTGATGACGACGACGATGTTGATGACGACGATGTTGATGACGACGACGTCGACGACGACGACGACGTTGACGACGACGATGTCGACGACGACGACGATGTTGATGACGACGATGTTGATGACGACGACGTCGACGACGACGACGATGTTGATGACGACGACGATGTTGATGACGACGACGATGTTGACGACGACGACGATGTTGACGACGACGATGATGTTGATGACGACGACGATGTTGACGACGACGACGATGTTGATGACGACGACGATGTTGACGACGACGACGATGTTGACGACGACGACGATGTTGACGACGACGATGATGTCGATGACGACGACGATGTCGATGACGACGACGATGTTGATGACGACGACGATGTTGACGACGACGACGATGTTGATGACGACGACGATGTTGACGACGACGACGATGTTGATGATGACGACGATGTTGATGACGACGACGATGTTGATGATGACGACGATGTTGATGACGACGACGATGTTGACGACGACGACGATGTTGATGATGACGACGATGTTGATGACGACGACGATGTTGACGACGACGACGATGTTGATGATGACGACGATGTTGATGACGACGACGATGTTGACGACGACGACGATGTTGATGACGACGACGATGTTGATGACGACGACGATGTTGATGACGACGACGATGTTGATGACGACGACGATGTTGATGACGACGACGATGTCGACGACGACGACGATGTTGATGACGACGACGATGTTGATGACGACGATGTTGATGACGACGACGTCGACGACGACGACGACGTTGACGACGACGATGTCGACGACGACGACGTTGACGACGACGATGTCGACGACGACGACGATGTTGATGACGACGATGTTGATGACGACGACGTCGACGACGACGACGATGTTGATGACGACGACGATGTTGATGACGACGACGATGTTGACGACGACGACGATGTTGACGACGACGACGATGTTGATGACGACGACGATGTCGACGACGACGACGATGTCGATGACGACGACGATGTCGATGACGACGACGATGTTGATGACGACGACGATGTCGATGACGACGACGATGTCGATGACGACGACGATGTCGATGACGACGACGATGTTGATGACGACGACGATGTTGATGACGACGACGATGTCGATGACGACGACGATGTCGATGACGACGACGATGTTGACGACGACGACGATGTTGATGACGACGACGATGTCGATGACGACGACGATGTTGATGACGACGACGATGTTGATGACGACGACGATGTCGATGACGACGACGATGTTGACGACGACGACGATGTTGACGACGACGACGATGTTGATGACGACGACGATGTCGATGACGACGACGATGTCGATGACGACGACGATGTCGATGACGACGACGATGTTGATGACGACGACGATGTCGATGACGACGACGATGTTGATGACGACGACGATGTCGATGACGACGACGATGTCGATGACGACGACGATGTCGATGACGACGACGATGTCGATGACGACGACGATGTTGATGACGACGACGATGTCGACGACGACGATGTTGATGACGACGATGTTGATGACGACGATGTCGATGACGACGATGTCGACGACGACGATGTTGATGACGACGACGATGTCGATGACGACGATGTCGACGACGACGATGTTGATGACGACGACGATGTCGACGACGACGATGTTGATGACGACGATGTCGACGACGACGATGTTGATGACGACGATGTTGATGACGACGATGTTGATGACGACGATGTCGACGACGACGACGATGTTGATGACGACGACGATGTTGATGACGACGACGATGTTGATGACGACGACGATGTCGACGACGACGACGATGTTGATGACGACGACGATGTCGACGACGACGACGATGTTGATGACGACGATGTTGATGACGACGATGTTGATGACGACGACGATGTTGACGACGACGATGTCGACGACGACGACGATGTTGATGACGACGACGATGTCGACGACGACGACGATGTTGATGACGACGACGTCGACGACGACGACGATGTTGATGACGACGACGATGTTGATGACGACGACGATGTCGACGACGACGACGATGTTGATGACGACGACGTCGACGACGACGACGATGTCGACGACGACGACGATGTTGATGACGACGACGATGTTGATGACGACGACGATGTTGATGACGACGACGATGTCGACGACGATGTCAACGATGTCGACGACGACGATGTTGATGACGACGACGACGATGACGACGATGACGACGATGACGACGATGACGACGATGACGACGACGACGACGACGTTGACGGTGCGCGTTGTGAACACGCCGTGGGCTCTCGCCGCAGGTGGTGAAGGTGATGAGGGACCGGAGGAGGGCGCGCAGGAACCGTTTGGCCCGGGAACAGCTGCAGAAGCTGCCCATTCACAAGTTCAAAAAAGGTGCGCCTTGCATACGCGCGCCACTGTGTGTGTGCGCGCGTGTTTGTAAAGGATGCTGCTACTGGGCAGTTGGAGGCAGTCGCCCACTAGCAACAGCTCACAACAACGAGCAGAGCCCCGGGCAGATAAAACAAAGAGTTGGTACAGTGGGGAGCGCTGTTGGTGCATCGGCCAATCATCTCGGTCGGTCAACCCATGGCACCTGGGTCTGTTCCGTGACCACCTGCCAGCGGGCTTTAGACACTTCACCTGGTCTCAAAGTGCACCTAGCCTGGCGCAAGCGCCGTGGTGACGTCACCGCCACTTGGTGGTGAACGGCGGTTATGTTATGTGCGTGTGTGTCCCGATTGCTTGTGTACGTGTGTCTGTGTGCGTCTGCGTGTTGGGGATTGGAGCGGTGGTGCAGTGGTTCGCGCAACAAGCCCTTCTACCCGAGTTCGATTCCAGGCCACAGCCAACATCAGCCGTGGTTATTTGAACCATTTCTGGCCCTCCCCTAGGTAGACTTAGCCTGAGGATTGAGTACTTGGTGTGGTGTGTAAACATGAGCAGCGGGGAGACAAAGGCGGCCGGGCACGGTGCTGGCCCCACCCCACCCTCTCGTGTGCCCCGTCGGCCTTCATAGGTGCTCGCTAACCGCACTTGCCCCAACAAGTCTTGTTGGGGCAGGTGCCGTTACACGGGGGATCTTTGTCTTTGTACACACGCGCGAGGGGAGCGGTGGCTCGGCGGTTAGTGCAACTCGCGGCCAACATCGGCGGCGACGGATATCTGAACCGGTTCTGGGCGGCCCGGGGCGTCGTGCCGGCCACACGACGCCGCCTCGTCACGCTTGGCACGCTAGGAGCCGGGGGCATTGCAGCGGCCGGCACTTGCCGCAGAGGCTATACGGTGAGGGGGGGACCTTTGTCTCGCGTGCAGGTGACGCGTACGAGGTTTGCGCCATCTGCCTGGACGAGTACCTGGAAGGGGACAAGCTGCGCGTGCTGCCTTGCTCGCACGGTACCCCCCCCCCGCCCGCCCGCCACGGCGTACCACTCACCCTCACTGTCACCCACAGCGTACCACTCACCCTCACAGCGTACCACTCACCCTCACCGTCACCCACAGCATACCACTCAACCACAGCGTCACCCACAGCGTACCACTCACCCTCACAGCGTACCACTCACCGTCACCCACAGCGTACCACTCACCCTCACTGTCACCCACAGCGTACCACTCACCCTCACAGCGTACCACTCACCCTCACCGTCACCCACAGCATACCACTCAACCACAGCGTCACCCACAGCGTACCACTCACCCTCACAGCGTACCACTCACCGTCACCCACAGCATACCACTCACCCTCACTGTCACCCACAGCGTACCACTCACCCTCACAGCGTACCACTCACCCTCACCGTCACCCACAGCATACCACTCAACCACAGCGTCACCCACAGCGTACCACTCACCCTCACCCACAGCGTACCACTCACCCTCACTGTCACACACAGCGTACCACTCACCCTCACTGTCACCCACAATGTACCACTCAACCACACCGTCACCCACAGTGTACCACTCACCCTCACTGTCACCCACAGCGTACCACTCACCCTCACTGTCACCCACAGCGTACCACTCACCCTCACTGTCGCCCACAGTGTACCACTCACCCTCACTGTCACCCACAGCGTACCACTCACCCTCACTGTCATCCACAGCGTACCACTCAACCACACCGTCACCCACAGCGTACCACTCACCCTCACGGCGTACCACTCACCGTCACGCACAATGTACCACTCACCCTCACCTACAGCGTACCACTCACCCACAGCGTCACCCGCAGCGTACCACTCTCCTGAACCGTCACCCACACAGCCTCCCGCACCGTCGCCCCTCGCGCGCTGTCGCCCGCAGCGTACCACCCATCCACACCGTCACCATCAGCATGCCGCTCACCCACACCGTCACCCACAGTGTACCATTCACCCACACCGTCACCCATCCACACCATCACCCACACTCACACCATCACCCACAGCGTACCACCCATCCACACCATCACCCACAGCGTACCACTCATCCACACCGTCGCCCCCTGCGCGCTGTCTCCCGCAGCGTACCACTGCAAGTGCGTGGACCCGTGGCTCACCGGCTCGAAGCGCACGTGCCCCGTGTGCAAGCGCCGCGTGATCCCCTCGCGGCGGCGCCGGCTGGGCGCCGCCACCCCGGAGAGCGACTCTTCGGGCTCGGAGCCGTCGAGCGACTCGTCCCCGCCGTCGCCCTCGTCGCCCTCCGACTCGGGGCGGGAGGAGACGCGGGAGGGCGAGCGCACCCCGCTCCTGCGCTCCGGCCGCTCCTCGTTCGGCTCCATGGCCCCCGGTGCCCCCTCCCCGGCCGCCGCTCAGCGGCAGGAGGAGCGCCGGCGGCGGCGGCGGCACCGGCGGCGTCGTCACGGCGACGCCGACGCCGACGCCGACCCCTCCGAGCGCGAGGACCCGCGGGGTCGGGCTGCGGAGGCGGTGGGCGGCGTCCTCTCCGCCTCTCCGTCGTCGTCGTCCATGACCTCCTCCACCTCTTCGTCGACGATGTCCACCTCGTCGGAGTTCGACAGGAGCGAGGGGCGGGGGGCCGCGGGCGCCGACAGCGTCGTTCCTCCCGCTGCGCCGGCGCCGCCGACGAGCGCCGACGGCGGTGCCCTGCCGGGAGGCGCCGGCGAAGAAGAGCGCAGGGCTCCGGCGACGCAGGGCGCTCGCGACGTGGTCACCGTGCAGGTGGAGAAGCACGAGCATTCCCTCGCAGACCGGCAGCAGGACCAGCCGCAGCAGCAGCAGCAGCAGAACGTGTGATGGGGGGTGTGAGGTGTGCGCGTCTGCGTGTGTGTGGTTGTGTGTGTGTATGTGTGTATGTGTGTGTGTGAGTGTGTATGGGGAGCGGTAGTGTAGCGGTTAGCGCGCTGCGCTACGTACCTGGCGACCCGGGTTCGATTCCCGCTCACGGCAAACACCCAGTGACGATTATCTGAACCGGTTTAGGGCCTCCCCTAGGTCGACTCAGCCTCAAATGAGTACCTAGTGCGGTGTGTAAACATCGTCACTGGGGAGACAAAGGCGGTCGGGCGTGGTGCTGGCCACCCACCCCCTCGTGTGCCATTCCGGCCTTCATAGGTGCTCGCTAATAGCACTTGACCCTACAGTCTGTTAAGGCTATACGGGGGATCTTTGTCTTTGTATGTGTGTGTGCGTGTATGCGTGTGTGCGCATCTCTTGTGTGTATGTGGGGAGCGGTAGTGCAGCGGTTAGCGCCCTGCGTTACGAACACAGCATCCCGAGTTCGATTCCCGCTCACGGCCACCACCAGTGACGGTTATCTGAACCGCTCCTGGGCGTCTCCTAGGTCGACTCAGCCTCAGATGAGTACCTGGTGCGTTGTGTAAACATCGCCACTGGGGAGACAAAGGCGGCCGGGCGTGGTGTTGGCCACCCACCCCGTCATGTACTGCACCGGCCTTCATAGGTGCTGCTCGCTAACAGCACTTGCCCCAACAGTCTGTTACAGGCTACACGGGGGGTTGTGTGTGTGTGCTCCTCTGTGTGCATTGTATGTATGTGTGCGCGTCTCTGCGTGTTGATGTGTGTCTGTGTCTGCGTCTGTAATTCTGTGTAAGGAGTGGCGTTGGCTTGGGTTTGCGCTCTGCGCTACGAACTTGGTGGCCTGAGTTTCAATTCCCAGCAGCCACTGCCAACGTCAGTGATAATTATCCAAGCCGGTTCTTACCAGCTGGGCATGGTGCTGGCCACACCACCCCATCGTGAGACGTTGCCGGTCTTCGTAGGTGCTTGCTAACGGCGCTTGCCCCAACAGCCCGTGCAGGCTTCCACGGGGAGGCGGGAAGGGGGGGGCGATCGTTGTGTTTGCTACTCGGCCGTGTGTGAGTGTGGAGATGCGAAAATGGGAATTTTAACAGGAATTGTAATTTTGTGTTGAAATGGAGCAAAGCCAAAATTATACCGCGTGTGATTGGCCCGTGGTGCAAATGCACGACAACAGTCGTGCCCTGATTGGTTGAGACGGATCTTATAAGCAGTTCTATTCCTACCCTGTTCGCTGCTCGTGATTTACTGGTGCGGTCGCTGCGACCTTGACGGTGCGGCTGATATGACGTACCATTGCGGTCGCCGTTCTGTTCACGTGCAGGCCATGCTGGCAGGGGCTGTGCTTACTTGCATGTCTTACTACGCGTCGTCGTCGTCGTCGTTACCGCGTCGCGCTCGGTCGCTTTTGAACGGCTTGATTATAATATTCCATTTTTGCAGTTGTGGGGGAGAGCCGGTGGCGCATCGGTTGGCGCTCCGCACTGGTTGATACCCGCAGGCATCGGTGGCGAGCGACTATATGAACCGGGCGTGAGGTGGGGGGCACCCACCCCTCACCCACCCCTCACCAACCCGCACAGTTACGGTCGAACGAGACCCGTTGACCGACGCGGCGCGGGTGACGGGGGGGCCGTGTGAACGGTCACGAGTTCCGGCTGCGTTCGCTTTGCCGGCGGTGTGTGGGGGGTTACGCGCCAGGCCACGGGAGGCATGTGGGATGGTTCCCGAGCCTTGGGCAGCGCCCCACCGACCGCCGGTTCGCAGCTCGGGGTGTGGGGAGGGGGCTGGAACCGACGCCGATTCCCGGGTCATTTTAATTTGAGATTGTTGCACGGGCGGCCTGCCGTCACCGCCGCCGCCGCCACCTTCCCGAGGGGCTGGCGGTGCCGGCGAATCCCTCGGGTGTGCCGGATCTCCGCGGCCGCAACCGCCTTGCTATTTACCCCGTCCCTCCACTCTTCTCTGTTCAAATTGCGGTGCCGGGGGGGGGGTGGTTCGTTGTCGTCGTTGCCGTCGTTGCCGTCGTCACGAGAAGGAGTTTTGAGTTCGGAGGCCTCTGTCCCACGCTAGGGGGGAGGCAGGGAAGGGAGGGGGAGGGCGTCTCTCTCTCGCGCGCGCGTCTCGAGCGTAACTGGAATCGCTGGAACTCTTCGAAGCAACTCCGGTGATGTAAGGAAATTGAGCGTTTAACACGGTGGTGGCGGTATGTTGTGGGGGGGGGGGGGGCGCGGAGCGGATCCGCCCGGCTAGCGTGGGCCCCGGTGCAAGAAATAAAACGGGGTTTGGGTGGAGGCCCCTTCTCAGATACCCCCGTGTAGCCCCGCGCCTTGGGCCCATCAGGCCGGGCGTGCAGGTCCCTGCGGCCGTCGTCCCGCGGCCTCGGTCGGGGGCCCGTCGCTCGTGTAAATAGGAATGCCTCGTGGTCGTCGTCGTCGTTGTCGTCGTTTATCCGTTGGCGTGGGTCGCACGGACGCGGGTTGGTTGTTGACGTACCGCAGGGGTTGAGCCCAAGCGAGCAACCTTCGTGTTCACCCTGGTGAGTCCGTGTTCACCCTGGTGAGTCTGTGTTCACCCTGGTGAGTCCGTGTTCAGCCTGGTCAGCCTGTGTTCACCCTGGTCAGTCTGTGCTCACCCTGGTGAGTCCGTGTTCACCCTGGTCAGTCTGTGTTCACCCTGGTGAGTCCGTGTTCACCCTGGTGAGTCTGTGTTCACCCTGGTGAGTCCGTGTTCACCCTGGTGAGTCCGTGTTCACCCTGGTGAGTCCGTGTTCACCCTGGTGAGTCTGTGTTCACCCTGGTGAGTCTGTGCTCACCCTGGTGAGTCCGTGTTCACCCTGGTGAGTCCGTGTTCACCCTGGTGAGTCCGTGTTCACCCTCGCGTTGTCCACGCTCGCGGTTCCCAATAAACTTTCCCGAACCCGAGAGAAGAGAGAGGCGGCGGCGACGCCGGCTGTTTGCGAGTGGCGCTCCTTCGTACGGTCCGGCACACCACATCCATAATACCACGGCCACCCCCACCTTCTCTCTCCCCCCACGCCATCCCATGTATCGTGGTTGCCGAGCGTAGGCTGAAAAGGCCTCCCCTGAATGAGGAGGAATAAAAAGGGAAAAAAAAACCAGCAGCACGCGGCGAGGGTGCAAACGGATGGGTGGATTGGTGGTTCTCGGAAGTGAGCGCGAAGGTTTCGTGATAAGAACTCGGGGGAGGAGAGGTGAATGGGAGGTGAATGAGAGGTGAATGGGAGGTGATTGGGAGGTGAATGGCAGGTGAATGGCAGGTGAACGGGAGGTGAATTCCACCACGGGCGAGCCGCTGAAACTCATCACGGGCCAGCGGCGGCTGCTGTTGCTGCCCGAAAGTTTTCGTCGGTACGAGGTCGACCAAACTACAAAGGACGTTTTTATTTTAGCAGCTAAGGCTGGTACGTAGCTCTCTTTCAGAAGCGACCCCGGCTATCACATATGACGGCTCGGCGAAGTAGGCTAGTCATGATCATCATCATCGCGCGGACTTGTACGTAAGCATTCTAGATTTGAAGCTTTCGTGACTGCAAGGATTCATATTCTTAGGTTTTTTCGGTAAAGTCACGTAGTTCTAGATTTGAAGCTTTCGTGACTGCAAGGATTCATACTATTAGTGCTTTCGGTAAAGTCACATATGTAAAAAATGAAATTAATAAAAAATAGTCACGTAGGTAAATAAAAATTAATAAAATAAAAAAATAACCCGTAAAAACAGTTTTTCACTATAAATCCTTTATATGCGTGGCGGCTAGAGTCCTCTCGTCCTCTGGCTTGAGATGGCTGCCACCTATGGGTCAGATGATTGCCAGCATTAAGCAATTGGTAATTAAATATGTAATTTTTTTTCCCTAAACGGTGTAAAATTTTGGAAAAAAATTTTCACGAAAATTTATTGTCACGCACAACGAGTCTGTGTGGAAAATGTCAGCTCGATTGGATCACGGGAAGTGGGTTAAAAAACGACCGAAAGATTTGCACGGTCGTAAGCACGCAAGCAAGCGAACTTAATATAAAGGATTTAAAAATCACGACGTTTCGGAGGCAACACAAGCTTCCGTCTTCAGGTGGAACCGTCACAGCGCGACAGCTGTATCAAGTGAGAGTACGTAAGCAGCCAAATACTCTGAACGCGTGACGTCGATTCAAAACGTGGCCACAAATAATAGCTCAACGTAATGGCTTATCACGTGGAAATGTATCGCAGCCAAACACTCTAAAAGCACGCTGATTCTAAATGTCGAGGGGAAAAACCGAAGGACCCGGAGAAAAACCCACGCGACCACGGGGAGAGAGAAACGCGGAAACTCCAAATACAGCAGCAGGTATCGGGGTCGGCATCGAACCTACGACCTCCTGTATACCAGGCGAGGTAGTTAACATCTAGCCACCGTGATGATGAGAGAGAGATACACGCAAACTCAAAATATACAGCAGCAGGCGTCGGGGTCGGCATCGAACCCACGACCTCCTGCATGCCAGGCGAGGTAGTTAACATCTAGCCACCGTGGCACCGATATTGTATCCAATGTATTTGCCGCGGCACTGGCAGCATACAAGGCCACGCATCTCGCCTGCGGAGTGTATATAAAACTCAACGTTTAACCTACTCACGCCGGCTTGTGCCCTCCCTCACAGTCGGGCATATTTGCGGAATACACCACGCCGCCGTTGACCCTGCAGGCCATTGACCGAGCAACCCAACGTCCCTACCAGCTCCCTCCGCAGGAAAGTGTTTTATTTTACTTTTCTACCTACGTGACTTTACCGAAATAACCAAAGAATATCGTACTAACATTATTATATAAAATAACACGTTTAACGGCTCGTTTTCAGAAGCAACCTGGCCGCATATGATCGGTCAACGAAGTGGCTTGCCATTGCCATCACGTGGAAACGCAGAGCAGAAACCGAAAAATCGCGTGAAGTCGATTCCAAACGTGGAGGGAGGAAAACCGGAGGACCCGGAGGAAAATCCACGCGACCACGGGGAGAGGGGCCGGTCATAAATGACGTCACGCACCTGGGGGGAGGGGGGGGGTCAGACATTTGTGACGATGGGGGGGGGGGGCGGCGTTTGAGAAATGTGACGTCACGTAAAAATGCGCAACTTTAAATAAATATAGACAACACGTTCTACTTAATGAAATCAACATTTTGATGTTTTCTCCTACAACATCAGAGTGCAGCGCCACATTAAATACGCACTGCAATGACAATAGTTTACAGCTATTTGAAGCATGTTTTATTTTTTTGGGGTGGGTGGGGGGCAAAGCTTTGTGACGTCATTTGAGGGGGGGGCGTCTGACTGGTGAAGCCGTGTGACGAGGGGGGGGGGGGGGGTCAAAAATCGTCCAAAATTGCGTGACGTCATTTATGGACGGCCCCAGAGAGACACGCAAACTACAAATATACAGCAGCAGCAGGCGTCAGGGTCGGGCTCGAACCCACGACCTCCTGCATACCAGGCGAGGTAGTCAACATCTCCCAGTCTAGAATTGAGCTGCTGCTTCTGCTGCGTCAGCCGCTGGGAGGAGGAACAACGCAGCCGGCATCACTGCTGCTCATGCCGCAGCCCTGCGCTCGATATCTTCACCATCGTTGACATCATCGTCGCTGCGCCCACGTGGGAGACGGCGAAACTCACAAATCCACCGTCCCCTCCATCCTATCCGTGTCTCACCCCTCGCTCGCGTCCCCTCCTCCTACTCTCCCCCCTCCCTCCCTCTCCCCCACTCCCCTCCCTCTCTCTCCCCACTCTCCTCCCTCCCCCCACTCCCCTCCCTCCCCCCACTCCCCCCCCCACTCTCTCCCCCCTCCCCCCACTCTCCCTCCTCCCCCCACTCTCTCCTCCCTCCTCCCCCCACTCTCTCCTCCCTCCCCCTACTCTCCTCCCTCCTTCCCCCCACTCTCTCCCCCCACTCTCTCCCCCCTCCCCCCACTCTCCCTCCTCCCCCCACTCTCTCCTCCCTCCCCCCACTCTCCTCCCTCCTCCCCACTCCCCCCCACTCTCTCCCCCCTCCCCCCACTCTCCCTCCTCCCCCCACTCTCTCCTCCCTCCTTCCCCCCACTCCCCCCTCCCCCCACTCCTCCCTCCCCCCACTCTCCTCCCTCCTTCCCCCCACTTTCCCCTCCCCCTCCCCCCACTCCCTCCCCCCACTCTTCCCCCTCCCCTCACTCCTCCCTCCCCCCACTCTCTCCCCCCTCCCCTCACTCCTCTCTCCCTACACTCTCCTCCCTCTCCCCACTCTGCTCCCTCCCTCCTCTCTCGCGCTCGGATCGTGCAAGGCGCTCGCTCGGGCTGCTGTACGAATCTTAACGGTGAGACGAGTTTCACCATCATCATCACCATCACCACCATCACTATCACCACCGTCATCATCACCACCACCATCATCACCATCATCACCACCATCATCACCATCATCATCACCACTATCATCATCACCATCATCAATACATCATCATCACCACCACCATCATCACTATCATCACCACCATCACCACCATCATCACCACCATCATCACCATCATCATCACCACTATCATCATCACCATCATCAATACATCATCACCACCACCATCATCACTATCATCACCACCAACATCATCACCACCACCATCATCACCACCACCACTATCATCACCACCACTATCATAATCACCACCACCACCATCATCATCACCACCACTATCATCACCACCACCATCATAATCACCAGCACCACTATCATCATCACCACCACCATAATCACCACCACCACTATCATCATCACCACCATCATAATCACCACCACCACTATCATCATCACCACCATCATCGTCTCGTGCACGCATCCCACCCCCCCGATCGTCACCCACGCCACAACCGCGTTCAGTGACAAAATGGAGCGGAGATTTTCACTGCAGCATCGCCACCCACCGTCACTACCCTCACCATGGCAACCATCATCACCATGACTACCATCACGAAGTGCCAGCACCACCACCATCGTTACCACCATCGTCGCCACCACCATAATTACAATCGGCATCTTCGTTACCATCACCACCATCACTGCCGGCATCATCAATACGTTGAGCACCCAGTGTTATTACCATCATCAACACCATCACAATCACCAACTCCATCATCACCAACACCGTCATCACCATCACCAACAACACCATCATCATTACCAACATCATCATCACCAACACCATCATCACCAACAACACCATCACCAACACCATCATCACCAACACCATCATCACCAACACCATCATCACCAACATTATCATCACCAACATCATCATCACCAACACCATCATCACCAACACCCTGATCACCAACACCATCATCACCAGCATCATCATCACCACCACCACCATCATCAACATCATCACCCTTTCAAGCATAAGCAGCACCAACACACCACCATCATCATCATCATGGTTCCAAGAATCAGCATCACCATTGCACCAGCATTACCAGCATCATCACCACCATCATCATCAACATCATCACCCTTTCAAGCATAAGCAGCACCAACACACCACCATCATCATCATCACCATCATCATCATGGTTCCAAGAATCAGCATCACCATTGCACCATTACCAGCATTATCATCACCATTGCACCACCATTACCAGCATCATCACCACCACCATCATCAGCATCATCATCCTTTCAAGCATAAGCAGCACCAACACATCACCATCATCATCACGGTTACAAGCATCAGCACCACCATTGCACCACCATTACCAGCATCATCACCACCATGATCATCACCAACATCAATACCATCACCACCATCACCACCATCTCCATCATCGCCCTTGCACGCACACATGGTGTCGTGAAATCATCTCCCACTGCTGTTGATGCGGTGCGGCTGTTGATGCGGTGCGGGTGTGGGCACGTTCATTGACCCCCGCATCCCACCCTGACCACTAACGACGCCACCCACGCTCGATGGATCGATCGACCGATCGATCCATCGACCGATCGATCCATCGATCGGCACGGTCACATGCGGTGGGGGTAAAGCGCGGGTGGGAAAAGAGCTTTACGGCTCATCGGATTCCGTCGGTACGGATTAGATATTCTGATGAGCGAGGAAGAGTAGGCCAAGCTCAAATATAGCCCACATATTGACGATCTCTTGAGTGGAGGTGACGAACGGGTGGGGTGGCTATGACGTCACCGTTGGGGTGGCTGTGACGTCACGGGTGAGGTGGCTGTGACGTCACCAGTGGGGTTGATATGACGTCACCAGTGGGGTGGCTGTGACGTCACCAGTGGGGTGGCATCATTTGCCATTTGGAGTGAAATCGATTTTGCAACAGCAGAATGTATGTACGTGATGTATGTACATGATGAATGTACATCATGTATGTTCATTATGTATGTACGTGATGTATGTACATCATGTATGTACATCATGTATGTACATGATGTATGTACATCATGTATGTACATCATGTATGTACATGATGTATGTACATCATGTATGTACATCATGTATGTACATGATGTATGTACATCATGTATGTACATCATGCATGTACATCATGTATGTACATCATGTATGTACATGATGTATGTACGTGATGTATGTACGTTTAGTATATTTATTATGTATGTTTATTATGTATGTACGTGATGTATGTACATGATGTATGTACATGATGTATGTACATGATGTATGTACATGATGTATGTACATGATGTATGTACGTGATGTATGTACATTTAGTATATTTATTATGTATGTTAATTATGTATGTTCGTGCATTGTGACTTGTCACGTTTTGTGTTACATGACAAACTTTACTAATTGGCCATGTCGGGTGGTGGAGGGTTTAACGACATTCATATTCACGCGACATCACCCAAGAAAACCCTCAATTATGGATGCATTGCACTGAATGCAACACGTGCAAACTCGCCACGCAGAGTGCTAATAATTTTAAGGCTGAGTCGACCTATGAGACGCCCAGGACAAGCTCAACTACCACTGACCATCGGCGCTGCCCGCGACCGGGAATCGATAGCCCGGGGCCCATCCTCACACCTTCCATGGTGACCTCTCTGATCCTACGTGCTGTGAAGGAGGACCATTGCCCGAAACGTCTCCTATCCTTTACCTGTTGAGGCCGCGGTGTTATTGGCATGGAACGTGAACGTGCTCCAACAAAGGTAAAGATCCCCCGGGTAGCCCGGGTAGCCCAAAACAGTTCTGTTCAGGGCCGAACGGCACACGACTGTTGCAGTGGGTTTACTCTCCAACACACAACCGGTTAGTGCTGTTCTGATAACGAATTGGCACGTTTTGTCTACGTGACGAACCTGATAAATTGGCTGTTGTCGGATGCTGGCGGGTTTAACGACACAATTATATATCTTCTTGGTTCTTTCGGTAAAGTCACGTCGAAGGGAAATAATAAAATAATACAAATAAAACATAATAAAATAATTCTCACGACGTTTCGGCCACAACGCAAGCAGCCGTCCTCAGGTGAAGAACAGGTCTGTCGGGGAGACAGCGTCTGAATGAAACACCACCACGCTTGGAGCGTATATTTAAGCTGGGTTGGAAGGGGGGAAGGGCGCCTTGACAAAATAATTTGCATATCAAGAGGAATTTAGCATATTTATGGGAAATGCAGGTATGTGATTAGTACTACTTGTGAAATGCGTAGGAGGTGGGCGGGGGGTTTCAAAGTCATATTATGCCCGTGCATTATGCAGGATTAGCAGCATCAAAGGGAGGGGATAGGGGTAGCATTAATAAAGGGAAGGAATAGTATGTAGCTGCAGTAACTAAACAAACACGTAAAAAACTAAACAAACACGTAAAAAACTAAAGTATAAACTACATAGTATCATCAGTATACTAAATATACTCTCCAATAAGCTGAGCTACTAACAGTAAGTAATACATTACAATTCTACGTCGCAAAAAATATAATATGCTTCCAGCTAAACTTTTACATCACACGGGTCTACCCCGTACTATATGCTGCCATAGACAAACCCAACATTAAAGAATAATACATAGTGTAATATTACACTATGTATTATTCTATCCACCCTACTGTATATCACACTGCTGTAGTCACTATACAATTACGATACTATATATTGCCTTATACATTGTATTAAACATTACAATTTTATACTATTTATTATTATACAATCTACACTATACCATTGACCGTCGAGTGAAAGATACTAAGAGGAAGCAACGAAAAATGTCAATGGAAGAGTGGTAGTAGGAGACTTGCAGCGGAGCAAATAATCCATTCCCTGCGGAGAATACAAGATATATAGTTATGCCAGTGAGTGGAACGCGGTCTGAGAGTCACCGTAAACGTGAACACAATCAGTTAAGATCCGAAGTGGTTTATTACGTCCTTCCAATGATTGCTGAGCCAGAATCCATCTTCTCGGTTGAAATTGTCTCTGTGTTTGTATATGTGGATCGCCTCATGAACGAATCTCTCATGGCAGCGGTGTTGGTGGTAGCCGTGCGCGGCTCGTAGCCGGGTTCGTAGCGTGGTGCAGTTAACCGAAGCCGCCGCCGCCGTCATCATCACCGCACCGTCGCCGTTCCGCGTTCCTGCAGGTCGCTGTCCTCCCCGGCGCCACCGGACCGAAGCCATGCGCCGTGCGCTCTCCGCCTGCCTGGCGCTCTGGGCGCTGACAGCCGGCTACTCCGTCCACGCCGGCGTGGCGATCTCCCCGCCGCCGCCGCCGGCGCGTTCCTCCTCCTCCTCGTCGTCGTCGTCGCCGGCACCGCCGCTCGCCGCCACGCCGTCGCCGGGCCGCGCCCGCATGCACCTCGACCCGTCGGCGGCGCTGGGCCTGGAGCTGTACCACGCGCTGCGCGCCGCTGCCGGCGGTGCCACCCGCAACCTCCTCTTCTCGCCGCTCGCCGCCGCCGCCACCCTCGGCCTGGCCAAGAGGGCCGAGCCCGGCGACTCCGGTGGTGGTGGTGGTGGTGGTGGTGGCGGTGCCCGTGCAGCGGCACGCCGCGAGATGCACGGTGCGGTGATGGCGCAGTGCGACTACTGCCCACCCTGCCACCCCCCCCCTTCCACCCACCCCCCCTGCCCCAACTCCTATGACTACCACTACCCCAACCCCTATCACTCCCCTTACCACTACCCCTACCACTACCCCAACCACTACCCCTATGACTACCCTTACCACTACCCCTATCATCCCAGAGAGACTGAGATAAATGGAGTTGGACAGAGACACTCAGAGAGATGGAGTTGGACAGAGACACTCAGAGAGACAGACACAGAGACTCAGAGAGACAGACACACAGAGACACTCAGAGAGACAGACACAGAGACTCAGAGAGACAGACACAGAGACTCAGAGAGACAGACACAGAGACTCAGAGAGACAGACACAGACACTCAGAGAGACAGACACAGAGACTCATCTCCAGAGCCCCAGGGGAGTGGAGGTTGGCTCTGGACGGGCTGCGCGGTGCCTGCCGAGACAAGAAGTTCGTGATGATGCCACGGTGACCGGGTGTCTCCCCCCCCCCCCCCCCCCCCGCTCAGGAGGCGGTGGCACCGCGGACGCGGCAGCTCCGGCAGGCGCCGACCGCGGGGACCTGGGCTCCCCGGCGGCGGTGGTGGGGGGGGCCGCCCCCCCCCCGCCGCTCTCCGTGTCCGAGTGGAGCGACCAGGCCCGCCTCGCCAGCGCGCTCTTCCTGCGCGCCAACGCCACCGGCCCGGCGGAGGGGAACGGCAGCGGCGGTGACGGCGTCTACCGCCTGGGGGCCGTGAGCGCGCACGACGCCGCCGACTCCATCAACAGCTGGGCCGAGCGCTGCACCGCCGGTGAGCGGTCCGGGGTCGCGGCGATCGCCAGGCAGGGCCCCGCGTGGGGAGTCGCCGGGGATCGGGGGTCATGGGGATGGAGTCACAGGCTCGGGGTCACGGGCTCGGGGTCACAGGGATGGGGTCACAGGCTCGGGGTCACGGGATCGGGGTCACAGGCTCTGGGTCACGGGCTCGGGGTCACGGGGATGGGGTCACAGGCTGGGGTCACGGCCTCGGGGTCACGGGGATGGGATCACGGGCTCGGGGTCACGGGCTCGGGATCACGGGCTCGGGATCACGGGTTCGGGGTCACGGGCCGAGCAGAACTTGATTCCGCGAGTTACCAAGGTGACCAACTCAAGACTGCAGCTCTGCAACTCGCCTCCCGAGTGGCCGAGCGTCGGTCCGGCGCGGCGAACTCCGGCGCGCCAGGCGACTAACGCGCCGTCACTGCGGCCGCAGGCGGCGTGCCGGAGCTGGTGACGGAGCAGGACGTGGGCGGCCCCAGCGGCGCTCGCTGGGGGGGGGCGGCGGACGGCGGCGGCGCCGCGCTGGTGAGCGCCGCCTGGTTCCACGGCCGCTGGCAGAGGGCCTTCCCCGCCGAGAACACGCGGCGCTTCCACTTCTCGCGGGACGACGGCGCCGAGACGCAGCTCTCCATGATGTACCAGCAGGCCGAGCTTCCCTACGGTGAGGGGGGGGCGGGGGGCGGGGCCGGTGGGGGGGAGGGGGGGGAGGGGGGTGGGGGGGGGCGCTGGGCATCGGCGAAACCGAGCGAGGTCCCAAGTGGCCTCGGGGAAATCGGCGGTTGCCCTTCACTTCCTCGGCTGCCCTTGGCTCGACCACGTAGCAACATCGCCCCTTAGTGAGAGACTACAGCATAGGGACAGCTGCCATCGGGGGTGCCCTAGGCTAAACCACGTAGCAACATCGCGCCCTCGTGAGAAGCTACAGCATAGGGACAGCTGCCACCGGGGGTGCCCTAGGCTAGACCACGTAGCAACATCGCCTTCTCGTGAGAAGCCACAGCATAAGGACAGCTGCCACCGGGAGTGCCCTAGGCTCGACCACGTAGCAACATCGCCCCCTACTAAGAAACTACTGCATAGGGACAGCTGCCACCGGGGTGCCCTACGTTATCTCCGTGCCCGCCCCGCTGTTGTCTGCCCGCGGGTGCAGCGGAGGTGAGCGAGGGCCAGCTGGTGGAGGTGCCGTGCGAGGGCGGCGAGCTGGCGCTGGTGCTGGCGCTGCCCCGGCAGGAGGTGCCGCTGGCGTCGCTGGAGCGGGCGCTGCGGCCGCGGCTGCTCAGCGACTGGATCCACGCGCTCAAGCGCCAGCGCGTGGAGCTCTACCTGCCCAGGTGGACGCGCGCTCTCGACACGGGCACACGCGCACGCACAGCTTGGTGGGGGCTTTGATGGTGCTGTGATGGAGCCCTGATGGTGCTCTGATGGGGCCCTCATGGGACTCTCATGGGGCCCTGATGGGACTCTCATGGGACCCTGATGGGGCTCTGATGGGACTTTGATGGGGCTCTGATGGGGCTCTCATGGGGCCTTGATGGGGCCTTGATGGGGCCCTGATGGGGCTCTGATGGGACTCTGATGGGGCTCTGATGGGGCCCTGATGGGTCCCTGATGGGGCTCTGATGGGGCTCTGATGGGGCCTTGATGGGTCCCTGATGGGGCCTTGATGGGGCCCTGATTGGACCCTGATGGGGCCCTGATGGGGCTCTCACGGGGCCCTGATGGGACCCTGATGGGACCCTAATGGGTCCCTGATGGGGCTGTGATACAGCCCTGATGGGACTCTGATGGGACCCTGATGGGGCTCTCACGGGGCCCTGATCGGCCTCTAATGGGGCCTCCATCGAGCCCTAATGGGGCCCTAACTGTGACCCGTGCCGCTCTCTGGCGCCGCAAGGTTCCGCCTGGACGTGCGCACGGCGCTGGGCGAGGCGCTGGTGAAGATCGGTCACGTGAAGGACGCTCTGGCGGCCGGCGGCGGCGGCGCTGGCGGTGGCGGTGGAGGGGCGGCGGCGCTGGCGGCCGCCTCGCTGCAGCGCGCCGTGCTGGACGTGACGGAGGACGGCACTGAAGCGCTGTCACCCGCCGGTACCTAGGCGCGCGTCTGTGCCAGTGTGTGCGTGTGTGTACTTGCCGATGACTGGTACCAGCGGTGTCAAGATCGGCCTCTGTGGAGGAGGCTCATGATGGACGCTGCTACTGGGCAGTTGGAGGCAGTCGCCCTCCAACAACAACGGAGGACGGAGGAGCGACGCTCACAACAACGAGCGGAGCGCCGGGTGGCTAAAGCACAGCAAGTTGGCACAGTAGGGGGCACAGATGGTGCATCAGCCAGTCATTTCGTTCATCTCGGTCAGTCGACCCGTGGCACCTGGGTCTGCCCCGTGACCTCCTGCCAGCGGGCGTTCGACACTTCACGTGGCCTCAAGGTGCACTTGGCCTGGCAAAAGCGTCGTGATGACGTCACCGCCACTTAGTGGCGAATGGCGGTTGTTGTTGTACGTGCGTGTGTGTACGTACGTGTGTGTACGTGCATGTGTGTATGTATGTACGTGTATACGTACGTGTGTGTGTCTGTACATACGTACACACTCACACCCGGGTTCGATTCACGGCCAACACCGGTGACGATTATCTGAACCGGTCCTGGGTCTCCCCTCGGTACTCAAACGAGTACCTGGTGCGGTGTGTAAACATCGCCACTGGGGAGACAAAGGCGGCCGGGCGTGGTGCTGTCCACCCACCCTCTCGTGTGCCGTTCCGGCCTTCATATGTGCTACCCGCTTACAGCACTTGCCCCAACAGTCTGTCCAGGCTATACGGGGGATCTTTGTATTTGTGTCTATATGTGCGTGTGTTGCCACGGGATCTTCATGTTGTCGCGTGTGCGTGTGCGTGTGTACATGTCTACGCACATACACACATACATCATTTTATTTGTCTTCGATGTATCTGTGTGTGTGTCCATGTAGTGGGGGAGTGGTGGTGCAGCGGTTAGCGCGCCGAGTTCGGTGGCCGCTCTCGACCAATAACAGTCGCGATCCTGGGCCTCCCCTAGGTCGACTCGACCTCAAACGAGTACAGCACCTGCCGCGTTGTGTAAACATCATCATCGGGGAGACAAAGGCGGCCTTCGTGGGCGCTCGCGAAGCGCACTTGCCCCAGAAGTCCATTGAGGCTACCTGGGGGGACCTTTGTCTGTGTGCCGCAGGTCTGAATTCCATGGGCAAGTCCCCCGGGTACCTGTACCCGCAGGTGATCGCCGACCACCCGTTCTTCTTCCTGCTGCGGAGCCGCGTCACAGGTGCCGCAGATCGCCACCGGGGGCGCATCACGCACCCACTGCCATCATCATCATCATCGCCATCATCATCATCATCGCCACCACCATCATCATCATCATCGCCACCGCCATCATCATCATCAACTTCATCGTCATCGCCATCGCCATCATCGTCATCGTCATCATCATCATTGCCGCCACCATCATCATCGCCATCATCGTCATCGCCATCATCGTCATCGCCATCACCATTGTCATCACCATCGTCATCACCACCGCCATCATCACCATCATCATCATCAACTTCATCGTCATCGCCATCGCCATCATCGTCATCGTCATCATCATCATTGCCGCCACCATCATCATCGCCATCATCGTCATCGCCATCACCGTCATTGCCATCACCATTGTCATCACCATCGTCATCACCACCGCCATCATCACCATCATCATCGCCGCCACCACCATCATCAACTTCATCATCATCATCATCGTCGCCATCATCATCATCAACTTCATCATCATCATCATCGTCGCCATCATCATCATCATCAACTTCATCGTCATCGCCATCATCGTCATCGCAATCACCATCGTCATCACCATCGTCATCACCACCATCATCATCGCCGCCATCATCATCATCAACTTCATAGCCATCGTCATGGTCATTACCATCGTCATCACCACCGCCATCATCACCATCATCAGCATCATCATTGCCATCGCCATCATCACCATCATCATCAAAATCGCCATCGCCAGAGTAAGATGAGAGGGGAGAGGTAGGAGAGTGCGGGAGTAGAGTGAGATGAGAGGGGAGAGGTAGGAGAGTGCGTGGAGGGGAGTGGAGTGAGATGAGAGGGGAGAGGTAGGAGAGTGTGTGGAGGGGAGTAGAGTGAGATGAGAGGGGAGAGGTAGGAGAGTGTGTGGAGGGGAGTAGAGTGTGATGAGAGGGGAGAGGTAGGAGAGTGTGTGGAGGGGAGTAGAGTGAGATGAGAGGGGAGAGGTAGGAGAGTGCGTGGAGGGGAGTAGAGTGAGATGAGAGGGGAGAGGTAGGAGAGTGCGTGGACGGGGAGTAGAGTGAGATGAGAGGGGAGAGGTAGGAGAGTGCGTGGAGGGGAGTGGAGTGAGATGAGTGGGAAGAGGTAGGAGCGTGCGTGGAGGGGAGTAGAGTGAGATGAGAGGGGGAGGCAGGAGAGTGCGTGGAGGGGAGTAGAGTGAGATGAGAGGGGAGAGGCAGGAGAGTGCGTGGAGGGGAGTAGAGTGAGATGAGAGGGGAGAGGCAGGAGAGTGTGTGGAGGGGAGTAGAGTGAGATGAGTGGGGAGAGGCAGGAGAGTGTGTGGAGGGGAGTAGAGTGAGATGAGAGGGGAGAGGCAGGAGAGTGTGTGGAGGGGAGTAGAGTGAGATGAGTGGGGAGAGGCAGGAGAGTGTGTGGAGGGGCTGCTAGACTGGAGCTGTAACTGTTGTTGCTGTCTGTGTGTGCTGTGTGTGTGTGCTGTGTGTGTGTGCTGTGTGTGTGTGCTGTGTGTGTGTGCTGTGTGTGTGCTGTGTGTGCTACTGTGTGTGTGTGCTGTGTGTGTGCTGCTGTGTGTGTGTGTGCTGTGTGCGTGTGTGCTGCTGTGTGTGTGTGTGCTGTGTGTGTGTGTGCTGTGTGCGTGTGTGCTGCTGTGTGTGTGTGCTGTGTGTGTGTGCTGTGTGTGTGTGTGCTGTGTGTGTGTGTGCTGCTGTCTGTGTGCAGGTGCGGTGCTGCTCATGGGGCGTCTCACCGACCCGGACCCCGTGGCCGACGTGGACTTCAACGTGGACGTCCTCTAGGGGGCGTGCCAGGGACCAGCGTGGAACCGCCCCCCTCTCCTGAGCCCCCCCCCCCCATTTCCCGCCTGCCCCCCTGCCCTTCCCCCCCTCCTAAACCCTCCCAGTCCCCCCCGTTCCCCCTCCTGACCTCCCCCAGCCACTTCCCCCCCCTCCCCTAGCCCCCTCCCCCCCTCCCCTAGCCCCCCTCCCCCCTCCCCTAGCCCCCCTCCCCCCTCCCCTAGCCCCCCTCCCCCCCTCCCTAGCCCCCCTCCCCTAGCCCCCCTCCCCTAGCCCCCCTCCCCCCTCCCCTAGCCCCCCTCCCCCTCCCCTAGCCCCCTCCCCTAGCCCCCCTCCCCCCTCCCCTAGCCCCCTCCCCCCTCCCTAGCCCCCTCCCCTAGCCCCCCTCCTCCCTCCCCTAGCCCCCCTCCTCCCTCCCCTAGCCCCCCTCCCCCCTCCCCTAGCCCCCCTCCCCCCTCCCCTAGCCCCCCTCCCCTAGCCCCCCTCCCCTAGCCCCCCTCCCCTAGCCCCCCTCCCCCCTCCCCTAGCCCCCCTCCCCCCTCCCCTAGCCCCCCTCCCCTAGCCCCCCTCCTCCCTCCCCTAGCCCCCCTCCTCCCTCCCCTGACCTTTCCCAGCCCCGCTTTTCAGCGCCCCCTTCCCCTCCAAACACGAATCAATATTCAAGTAAAATAATTTTCCACCAAAAGCGTCCGTGGGGGGCTCACCCGGCCAGAACTACCAAGCTGGGTCTGGTGGGCGCCACCACCGCCATCACTACCACCACAACCACCACCACCACCACAACCACCACCAACAACACCACCACCACAACCACCACCGCCACCATCACCACCACCGCCACCACCAACCCCACCACCGCCACCACCGCCACTACCAACACCACCACCACCAACACCACCACCGCCACCACTGCCACCACCAACCCCACCACCGCCACCAACACCACCACCACCAACACCACCACCGCCACCACCAACACCACCACCACCGCCACCACCACCAACACCACCAACACCACCACCAACACCACCGCCACCACCACCAACACCACCAACACCACCACCAACACCACCGCCACCACCACCAACACCAACGCCGCCACCACCGCCACCACCACCACCAACACCACCACCAACACCACCACCACCAACACCACCACCAACACCACCAACACCACCAACACCACCACCAAGTCTCATGCCGCGTGCTGCACGGAGTGGGGGGGGGGGGGAGATTGTTGTCGATGTGCTCGCGAAGTGACACACGCGGTGTCGCACCTCGCCCCAACAGCCCAGCCAGCCCATGGGCGTGGCGGTGCCTATAGGGGCGTCCGTCTGCCCATATATGGGAGAAAGTTGGGCGTGGTATTGCCTATAGGGGCGTGAATCTGCCCATATATGGGAGAAAGTTGGGCGTGATGATGCCTATAGGGGCGTGCGTCTGCCCATATATGGGAGAAAGTTGGGTGTGGTATTGCCTATAGGGGCGTGAATCTGCCCATATATGGGAGAAAGTTGGGCGTGGTATTGCCTATAGGGGCGTGAATCTGCCCATATATGGGAGAAAGTTGGGCGTGGTATTGCCTATAGGGGCGTGCATCTGCCCATATATGGGAGAAAGTTGGGCGTGGTATTGCCTATAGGGGCGTGCATCTGCCCATATATGGGAGAAAGTTGGACGTGGTATTGCCTATAGGGGCGTGAATCTGCCCATATATGGGAGAAAGTGGGCGTGGGGATGCCTGCTGTATTTGGGGTTTGCGTGTCTCTCTCTCATCATCATCACGGTGGCTAGGAGATGTTGATTGCCTCGCCTGGCACACAGGAGGTCGTGGGTTCCATCGCGACCCTGACGATGCCTACTGCTGCTGTATATTTGGAGTTTGCGTGTCTCTCTCATCATCATCACGGTGGCTAGGAGATGTTGATTGCCTCGCCTGGTACACAGGAGGTCGTGGGTTCGATCGCGACCCTGACGATGCCTACTGCTGCTGTATATTTGGAGTTTGCGTGTCTCTCTCTCCCCGTGGTCGCGTGGATTTGTCTCCGGGTCCTCTGTTTTTTTTTCCGTCTTCGCATTCAGAATCGACAGACACGCATTCCGAGCATTTGCTGCTGCTGCTGCTATAAATGTCCACGTGATGATGATGATGGTGAGCCCACTTCGTTGAACGATCGTTTGTAAAAGCCAGGTCGGTCGCTTTTGAAACTAAAAAAAATTAATATAGTATAGCTTATATATTCTTAGGTTTTTTCGGTAAAGTAACGTCGGTAAAAAAATAAAGTTAATAAAAGTAAAATAAAAAAACAGCTTAGTAAAATAAAACAAGTAGTTTAGAAAACAGTAAGGGGTCGTTCATAAATGACGTCACGCAGCTGGGGGGGGGGGGTCAGACATATGTGACGATGTGTGACGAGGGGGGGGGGGGTGGTTGAGAAATGTGACGTCACATCAAAATGCACAACTTTAAATAAATATAGACAACACGTTCTACTTAATTAAATAGACGTTTTAATTAATGTTTTCTCCTACAACATCAGAGTGCAGCGCCACATTAAATACGCACTACAATGACAATAGTTTAAAGCGATTTGAAGCATGTTTTATTTTGGGGGGGGGGGGGGCAGAGCTTTGTGACGTCACATTTGAGAGGGTGGGGGGGGTCTGACTTTTTGTGACGTCGTGTGACGAGGGGGGGGGGGGGTGTGTCAAAAATCGTCCAAAATCGCGTGACGTCATTTATGGACGGTCCCCTTGCACAAACATTGTCGTTCCGGTTCCGACGGATGCCTCCCTGCGACCATTTCTCGCTTTCAGCCGGAAATTCGGCGAGGAAACGGAACCCTTTGATTTAAAGCTTCTTTCGTGACTGCAGGGATTCATCTTCTTGGTTCTTTCGGTAAAGTCACGTAGAAGGGAAATAATAAAATAATAAAAACAAAAAGAATAAAATAATTGGATTTCGATTTAAAGCTTTCGTGACTGCAGGGATTCATTTTCTTGGTTCTTTCGGTAAAGTCACGTAGAATGGAAATAATAAAGAGAGCAGGTCTGTCGAGTAGACAGAGTCTGTCTACTCGACAGACCTGCTCTCCACCTGAGGACGGCTGCTTGCGTTGTGGCCTAAACGTCGTGAGAATTATTTTATTATGTTTTATTTTATTATTTATTATTTCCATTCTACGTGACTTTACCGAAAGAATCAAGAAGATGAGAGGGAACCCGTGACAATTCTTCCCACCGGGGCCCGCCACGCTCTGGGAGCCGAGCGTGCTGATGAATGTACGAGGTGGCACGTGGTCATTCGAGGTTTGTTCGTTGTCGGTGTCGTAGTGGGTCGTCCCCGATGGGAGGGCCCGTGATTGTGATGCTGATCGCGGGGGCGGTGAGCCCGCCAGCCCCGCCCCCCCTCGTCTTGTTGTGGTGACGCAGCGCGGTCAAATACACGCAGCGGGACACGTGGTGGTGGTGGTGGGGTGTGATCAATGTGTGATCAATGTGTGGTCAATGTGTGATCAATGTGTGATCAATATGTGGTCAATATGTGGTCAATGTGTGAGCAGTGTGTGACAGGTGTGTGATCAATGTGTGATCAGTGTGTGATCAATGTGTGGTCAATATGTGGTCAATGTGTGAGCAGTGTGTGACAGGTGTATGATCAATGTGTGATCAATGTGTGATCGGTATGTGATCAATGTGTGACAGGTGTGTGATCAATGTGTGATCAATTTGTGATCAATTTGTGATCAATGTGTGGTCAATGTGTGATCAATGTGTGATCAATGTGTGATCAATATGTGGTAAATATGTGGTCAATGTGTGAGCAGTGTGTGACAGGTGTGTGATCAATGTGTGATCAATGTGTGATCGGTATGTGATCAATGTGTGACAGGTGTGTGATCAATTTGTGATCAATGTGTGGTCAATGTGTGATCAATGTGTGACAGGTGTGTGATGAATGTGTGACAGGTGTGTGATCAATCTGTGATCAGTGTGTGATCAATGTGTGATCAATGTGTGATCAATGTGCGACAGGTGTGTGATCAATGTGTGACAGGTGCGTGATCAGTGTGTGATCGATATGTGAGTGCACGCCACGCAGAGACACGCCGCTCTGCTGAGGTGCCAGACGGCGGTCGGTCAAGGTCGAGCTGGTGACTTTCAGATGAGAATCGAGGCACTTGGTGCCCATCCCATCTGTTTACAGCCCTGTGGTGCCAGTGGTGGACACTCCACATTCCTATGGTGGGGTGCGAGAGCCTACATAGTGCGGTTGGCTACGTACGGTGCGAAAGAAGGTTCAACATACATTCGACTTTCCAACACAGCAGTACTGATCTTATGGCAGTGGAGTTCGAGGTGGGGATAGCTGTTAGGCTCGGCGCAAGGCCGCGTTCTGCAGGAACAGGAGCAGGTTGGTTGGGCAGGGTTAGGCGATAGGGCCAGAGTGAATATGGTGCATTAACACTCAAATAATTATCGAACTCGGGTCACCGGGTTCGTAGCGCAGCACGCTAACCGCTTCACTTCCGCTCGCCACGAACCATCGAACACACACACACAGAGGTGTACAATCATGTTGATGCTCCATCATACGTTTTTTTTTCAATGTGGTTACCGATATATAAAGGAAAAATGGCTTAGAAAAATCCTAAAAACTCCAGCAATAAGCATCTTTATTGAATGTAAACAATAGCCTGGTGTATGCTGATAAGCAGCTCCATGAGTGGCCGGTAAAAAGGCATAGGTTAAAAATGGTCCCGGTAAAAATATCCCAGTTAAAAATTGTCACGGTAAAAATGTCACAGGTAAAAATTGGCACGCTAAAAATGGCACAGGTAAAATGACACTGGAAAAAATGTTACTGGTAAAAATGGCACAGGTAAATATTGGCACAGGTAAAAATGTCACAGGAAAAAAAATGGCATCATAACAATGGCACAGTAAAAATGGGCAAAGTAAAAATGGCACCGGTAAAAATGTCACAGATAAAAATGTCACAGGTAAAAATGTCACAAGTAAAAATTGGCACAATTAAAATTAGCACTGGTAAAAATGGCACAGGTAAAAATTGGCATCGTAACGATGGCACAGGTAAACATTGCCACCATAAATTGTCACCGTTAAAATGTCACGGTAAAAGTGGCACAACAACTAACCATCGAGGGTTAAAGGTTAATCCCTTCCATTCAGATCTGTATAAAACTCCGACTACAGTAGCCCTAACTGTTAGTACAGCCCCGTTTCACTGCGCTACGCTCTCCTTGTTTTCACTTGTGCCATCTTTACACCCAAGACCGCAGCTCCGCCCACCGGGAGCGATCGTTCACGATGGAGGTCGCGGTAGAGGTCACTGACCCATCGCGACCCACGTGCCACCAATTGTCGATGCCAGGGCAGCATCAGCTCCACGAGGGCACCTCGGCCCACGTGGAACTCGGGTGAGCCCCAATTGGAGAGATTCCTGTAGATCGGTGTCATATCATTCCCCCATTGACTCATTACGTTGACAATACACGTTCATCGTTATTTATGGACAATAAGGATAGGTCTGACCCTACTAATAGGGTTTTTCCCCTTTTTTCTGGCAACAAAACTGACACCTTTTGCAAGCAATCATGCTTACATTAACCACAATACTTGCAGTCAAATGCAAACAAAAACACAACTCTGATAATGTATGCATTGTCTTTGAAACTGATTGGTCCACACCAGAGACAGCTTTCTTTAGAGCCTCGTCTCATATGGTGTTCGACCAGATGACGCCAAAAGGCGCACAGTTCAAAGACAACGCACTACCAGAGTAATGAGAGCTCGGGGTGAGCAGCTACATCATGGGACCTCCTTTGCCAGTACCAAAATATACTAATAGGGTTTTTCCCCTTTTTTCTGGCAACAAAACTGACACCTTTTGCAAGCAATCATGCTTACATTAACCACAATACTTGCAGTCAAATGCAAACAAAAAACACAACTCTGATAATTTATGCATTGTCTTTTAAACTGATTGGTCCACACCAGAGACAGCTTTCTTTAGAGCCTCGTCTCATATGGTGTTCGACCAGATGACGCCAAAAGGCGCACAGTTCAAAGACAACGCACTACCAGAGTAATGAGAGCTCGGGGTGAGCAGCTACATCATGGGACCTCCTTTGCCAGTACCAAAATATACTAATAGGGTTTTTCCCCTTTTTTCTGGCAACAAAACTGACACCTTTGGCAAGGAATCATGCTTACATTAATCAAAAAACTTGCAGTCAAATGCAAACAAAAACAATACTCTGATAATTTATGCATTGTCTTTGAAACTGATTGGTCCACACCAGAGACAGCTTTCTTTGGATCCTAGTCTCATATGGTGTTCGACCAGATGACGCCGCCATAAGGCGCACTGACCCTTTCTACCAATGCAACAAGAGGGTTTCGTGAATGCTGTGGATTTGCTCTCAAACGCAGCGGTTAGAGCTGTACTAGTAACGAATCGGCACGTTCCGTTCACGTGACAAACCTTCACTAACTCGCCTTTTGCCCGTCCAAGGACGGGTGTATTTGAGTAAATCTGAAACTTGCAAGCGAAAAGCAGAGCGCCACGTGAGATATTCTTTGCATCAATTCGCGTGCAATTTGTAAAGGCCGCGGTGACACAAACTTGTTTCATTCAAAGGTTATAATCCCTTGTTCATCGTGACGTCCTTTTTACTTCGATGTCTCAACAGCGCTACGGAGATCACGTGACGTGAGGGTTCTGCCTTCGTAGTGAGGGTTGTGAGTTGACACCGAGGGGGGAGGAGGCGCCTCGCCCCCCCCCCCCCATGTGGAGTGACGTCACCCGCTAATTAATATTAATGAGGGGGGGGGGGTCCATGTGGAGTGACGTCACCTGCTCATGAATATTAATATGGGGGGGTGCTACATGTGGAGTGACGTCACCTGCTCATGAATATTAATGAGGGGGGGTCCATGTGGAGTGACGTCACCCGCTCATGATTATTAATGAGTGGGGGTGCTACATGTGGAGTGACGTCACCCGCTAATTAATATTAATGAGGGGGGGTCCATGTGGAGTGACGTCACCCGCTCATGAATATTAATGAGGGGGGGGGGTCCATGTGGAGTGACGTCACCTGCTCATGAATATTAATGAGGGGGGGTCCATGTGGAGTGACGTCACCTGCTCATGAATATTAATGAGGGGGGTGCTACATGTGGAATGACGTCACCTGCTCATTAATATTAATGAGGGGGGGGTCCATGTGGAGTGACGTCACCTGCTCATGAATATTAATGAGGGGGGGGGGTCCATGTGGAGTGACGTCACCTGCTCATGAATATTAATGAGGGGGGGTGCTACATGTGCAGTGACGTCACCTGCTCATAATTATTAATTGGGGGGGGGAGGGGTGCTACATGTGGAGTGACGTCACCTGCTCATGAATATTAATGAGGGGGGCTGGCCGACGTGGAGTGACGTCACGTGCGGGACACACAGACATCCTTGGCTCATTCTCGTAGTAAATTGGCTGTGTCGGGTGGTGGCGGGGTTAACGACACATTTATATATTGACGCGGCATAACCCTACAAAAAAAACCCCTACATTATGGATGTGTTAAGATGTTGAAGCACCAAATGGAAACCTTTTGCAAGGAATAAAGTCCTACATCAACCACTCGCAGTGCTTGTGGTGGACATGCAGACACAACACGGCTCTGATAATTCACTGGTCAACACACTTGTTCTGGCATAAGGTAGTTTGAGTGGAACAATAACAGCCACTTGCTGTACTTGTGAGGCATAAGCAATTAGACAATGGCACTTACTACCCAGGGATCAAACTCGAATGTGTGTCACACAGTGTGATCGATCGATGGCTTTACACGTCCCAGTGGTCATGGTGGGTGAGAGCTATTGCGGGCGGAGTTGTTGATTGTTGTTGTTGTTGGTTGTTGTTGCTGCTGCTGCTGCACCACCACCACCAAAGGGCCTCGTGAGAGACGCGGGCGCCATGGGGGCTTTCATCGAGCAGCGGATCGGTGACGGCGCCTCGATGTTAATACCTGTGGGGGTGGTGGTGGGGGGTGGGGTCAGGGGGGGTGGGGGACAGGGGGTCATGGGGGTGGGGGGCCAGGGGGGGTGGGGGTCAGGGGGGACAGGGGGGGTGGGGGTCAGGGGTGGTGGGGACAGGGGGGGTGGGGGGCCAGGGGGGGGTGGGGGTCAGGGGGGTGGGGGTTAGGGGGTGGGGGGTCAGGGGGTGGGGGGTCAGGGGGTGGTGGGGGGGTCAGGGGGTGGGGGGTCAGGGGTGTGGGGGACAAGGGAGTGGGGGGGACAAGGGAGTGGGGGGGAGACAGGGGGTGGGGGGTCAGGGGGGGTGGGGGGTCAGGGGTGGTGGGGGGTCAGGGGTGGTGGGGGGGTCAGGGGGGTGGGGGACAAGGGAGTGGGGGGAGACAGGGGGTGGGGGTCAGGGTAGTGGGGGGTCAGGGGGTGTGGGGGGGGACAGGGGGGTGGGGGGTCTTTTGTGGGGGGGTGGGTGGGTCAGGGGTGGGGGCTCAGGGGAAGTGGGGGTCAGTGGGGTGGGGGGGTAAGGGAGGGTGGAGGACAGGGGGTGTGGTGGTGTGTGGGTGGGTGTGGGTGGGTGTGGGTGGGTGGGTGTGGGTGTGCGCGTCCTCACGGCTGCTGGGTGAAGCGCGTCTTGTCCGTGAACACGCCGGTGTTGACCATGCGCAGGCTGGCGTTGGAGGTCGACTGGCTGCTCATGAACCAGCCGGGGAAGGCCGCCGACTCAAAGCTCATGGTCTGGGTCAGAGGCTCCTCCTTGCGGTAGAACACGAAGTGCCACGTGGGCTGATCCACGGAGATCCGGGACAGGTGCTCTCGGTTGCTTTGCTGTGAGAAAGAGAACCGAGTTTGTGTGTGCGCGTGTGCGTGTGTGTGTGCATGCGTGTGCGTGAGTGTGTGTGCGTGTGTGCGTGTGTGTGCGTGTATGAGTGTGTGTGTGTGTTTGTGCGTGTGTGCGTGGGCGTGTGTGTGCCTGTGTGTGCGTGTGTGTGCGCGCGTGCTTGCGCGCGTGCGCGTGTGTGTGCGCGTGTGTGTGTGCGTGTGTGCGTGCGTGTGTGTGTGTGTGCGTGCGTGTGTGCGTGTGCGTGCGTGTGTGTGTGTGCGCGCGTGTGTGTGCGTGCGTGTGTGTGCGTGTGCGCGCGCGCGTGTGTGTGTGTGTGCGTGCGAGCCCCGGCTCAGGTGAGGCGCCTACCTGTAGCGTGAGTGACACGGTGGCGTTGTCCCCCTGCGAGCAGCACAGGTAGCGACTCGTCTTCGAGAATCCCAGCACCACGGCCTCCCCGGCACGCGGCTGGGTGCTCTTGTAGCGGTACATCATCATCATGGCTGCTCGCATCAACACACACAAACGATGCCCCCATCGCCACCACGTGTAGCCTTCAAACCAAGTGCTGCTGAGCGAGATCGCAGCCCATGAACGCCGGGGCTATGGCCCACGATGGGGGTGGTCATCGCCACGCCCGACCGCCTTTGTCTCCCCCAGTGGCGGTGAATACACACCGCACCAGGTACTCATTTGAGGCTGAGTCGATCTAGGGGAGGCCCAGCACCGGTTCAGATAATCGTCACTGGTGTTGGCTGTGAGAGAGCTACACACAGAGCCACACACACACACAGAGCCACACACACAGAGCCACACACACACAGACACACACACAGAGCCACACACACAGAGCCACACACACACACACAGAGCCACACACACACAGACACACACACACACACAGAGCCACACAAACAACAACAACAAACACACACACAGAGCCACACACACACAACAACAACACACACAGAGTCACATACACACACAGAGCCACACACACCACAGAGCCACAGGTCACACAGCAGAGCCACATACACAACAACACACACAGAGCCACACACACACACAACAACACACACACACAGAGTCACTCACCTGAGAGGGTGCGCCTTTCTCGGGCTTCGGCCTTGGGCTGAGCGTGGCGACTGCGTGGAGCCACGCACATGTCCATCATGGTCCACAGCACAATGTTACTCTCATCCAGCTCCAGGCTGAACACCAAGTAGCTGAGGTCAGGGGTCGCGTGGTTCACGCAGCACTTCCCTGGGAGACGGTGGGGGACGGTGGGGGGGGGGGGATATCGGTCAATGAAGGGTTCCCGTTGTTTCGATGATGAAGAGTGTAACGGGGATGAGGATCAATGAAGTTCGTAAGAATGTGAACTTTGTACGAAGAAAAAAAGTTCGTGCGTAAAAGTTGATTAGAAATGTAAAGTTCGTTGCAAATATAAAGTTCGTACGAATATAAAGTTCGTACGTAAAGTTGATTAGAAATGTAAAATTCGTTGCAAATATAAAGTTTGTACGAATATAAGGTTCGTACGTAAAGTTGATTAGAAATATAAAATTCGTGCAAATATAAAGTTTGTACGAATATAAGGTTCGTACGTAAAGTTGATTAGAAATATAAAATTCGTGCAAATATAAAGTTTGTACGAATATAAAGTTCGTTCGTAAAGTTCGTCCAAATATAATGTTCGTAAAAATGTGAACCTTGTACAAATATAAAGTTCGTACGAATATAAAGTTCGTACATAAAGTTCGTAGAAATATAAAGTCTGTACAAATATAAAGTTCGTACGGTGCTGTCCAACACGTAGTCGCGACAAATATTAATCGATTACAATAATTCAGGTTTTTGTTGTGTGTGTGTGTTGGGTTCGATGGCGTAACTTGTCAACGTGTCGTTAACCCACCATCACCCGACACGGCCAATTAGTGAGCTTTGTCACGGATAACACAAAACGTGGTCGGTGGTAATTGAACTTGCCCTGGGTGTCGTGTAGGTCAACTCAGCCTTAAATATGAGTAGTACCCTGTGTGGCGAGTTTGATGATGCGAGTTTTTTTTTTTTGGGGGGGGGGGGTTAGATCGTGTAAATATAACTGTGTCGTTAAACCCGCCGCCACCCGGCACAATCATTTTAGTGAGGTTTGTCACGTAACACAAAACGTGGGAATTCGTTACGAGCACAGCGCACACCGGTTGTGATGTTGGAGAGTAAACCCACAGGCACATTTACAATTCCAGTACTGTGACGTGTCGTTGGTGATTACAACAACAACCACAACAACAGCCACAACAACAACAATAAACACAACATTAATCAGCTTCATCAAATGATTTGCCTACAACGTAAGCTGTTTGTAATCACGGCGCGGTAAGCGTGCTGCTGCAGATGATGATGGTGACGATGATGATGTTACTGCTGCTGATGATGATGATGTTACTGCTGCTGCTGCTGATGATAATGATGCTGTTACTGCTGCTGCTGATGATAATGATGCTGTTACTGCTGCTGCTGATGATGATGCTGATGGTGACGATGATGATGATGATGTTATTGCTGCTGCTGCTGCTGCTGATGATGCTGATGTTACTGCTGCTGATGATGATAATGATGCTGTTACTGCTGCTGATGTTACTGCTGCTGCTGATGATGCTGATGTTACTGCTGCTGATGATGATAATGATGCTGTTACTGCTGCTGATGATGCTGATGGTGACGATGATGATGATAATGTTACTGCTGCTGGTCATGATGATGTTACTGCTGCTGCTGATGATGGTGACGGTGATGATGACGATGCTGACGATGATGGCGATGATGATGATAATGATGATGACGATGATGATGACGATGCTGACGATGATGGCGATGATGATGAAGAAGATGATGATGACGATGATGATGATGACGGTGATGGTGACGGTGATGATGATGATGATGACGACGATGATGATGACTATGACGATGACGATGATGACGACGAAGCCGATGACGATGATGATGACGATAACTATGACGATGATGATGACGATGACGATGATGATGACGATGACAGTGATGATGACGATGATGATGACGGTGATGATGACGATGATGATGACGATGATGACTATGACGATGATGACGATGATGACTATGACGATGATGATGATGATGACAATGATGATGATGACAATGATGATGATGACTATGACGACGACGACGATGACGACGATGATGATGACTATGATGATGACGATGATGACGATGATGACGATGATGATGACAATGATGATGACAATGATGATAATGACTATGACGATGATGATGACGACGACGATGACGACGATGATGATGACTATGACGACGACGATGACGACGACGATGACGACGATGATGATGACTATGACGACGACGATGACGACGATGACGACGACGATGACGACGATGACGACGATGATGATGACTATGACGACGATGACGACGACGACGATGACGATGACGACGATGATGATGACGACGATGACGACGACTGCCTCCCAACTCACTGGCGAGCACCACCTCCTCGTGGCGGCTCTGCTCCACATCCACCACGAGCTCCACGCAGCGTCCGAGCGCGCCGCAGGTGAAGCACGTCCCTCCACCACCGCCACCGTGTCCACCACCGCCGTGTCCACCCTCCGCCACACCGGGCAGATACCGCGAGGTGAGCGTGGGGCGACTGTAGAGGACGAGTGAGACGCTCTCCCCCTCCACGCTCTCGGCACATCGCTCGGCAGCCGTCGTCGGTGGCACGTGGTCCTCGCCCCCTTCCTTCTCCTCCTTCTCCTGCTTCGTCTCGTTGCTGGACCCCCCCCAAAAAAAACCAAGAAATTAAATTTAATTATCTTCTTGGTTCTTTCGGCAAAGTCACGTAGAAGGGAAGTTGATTGTATCACCGGGTCCTCTGGTATTTTTAAATCCTTTATATTAAGTTCGCTTGCTTGCTTGCTTGCGCGCTTACGACCGTGCAAATCTTTCGGTCGTTTTCTAACCCACTTCCCGTGATCCAATCGAGCTGACATTTTGCACACAGACTCGTTGTGCGTGACAATTTATTTTCGTGAAAATTTTTTCCAAAATTTTACACTTTCAAGGAATTTTTTTAAAAAATATTTAATTACCAATTGCTTAATGGTGGCAGGCAATCATCTGACCCATAGGTGGCAAGCCATCTCAAGCCAGAGGACGAGAGGACTCTAGCCGCCCGTTTCAAAGACCAATGTGGGCTGGGTTTTGGCCCATTGAACATGCATATAAAGGATTTATAGTGAAAAACTTTGTTTTTACGGGTGAATTTTTTCCCTCCACATTTAGAATGAACATCGCACGTCTAGAGCATTGGGCTGCTATACATGTCCACGTGATGAGGATAGGTCGCTCCTCTGAGCTACCGTTGGTCATCGCCAGCTCGCTTCGGCTAAAGAGCCGCATCGCTCAGTCGGTGCCTTACCTGGTAGACAAATTAAAAATTAACCCGTAAAAAAAAGTTTTTCACTATAAATCCTTTGTATGCGTGGCATCGGTTTTATTTTATTATTCATTTCTGTTTTTCTTGAGTAAGAGTTTCATTTTTATCACACTGGTATTTTAAATTAAATATGAAATTTCTTTTTTTTCTAAAAAGTGGAAAAAAAATTTCACGAAAATAAATTGTCACGCACACCGAGTCTGTGTGCAAAATTTCAGCTCGATTGGATCACGGGAAGTGGGTTAAAAACGACTTAAAGATTTACACGATCGTAAGCACGCAAGCAAGCAAGCAAACTTAATATAACGGAAAAATTAATCCGTAAAAACAAAGTTTTTCACTATAAATCCTTTATATGCGTGGCGGCTAGAGTCCTCTCGTCCTCTGGCTTGAGATGGCTGCCACCTATGGGTCAGATGATTGCATGGCACCATTAAGCAATTGGTAATTAAATATAATATTTTTGTCCTAAAAAGTGTAAAATTTTGGAAACAAATTTTCACGAACATTAATTGTCACGCACAACGAGTCTGTGTGCAAAATGTCAGCTCGATTGGATCACGGGAAGTGGGTTAAAAAACGACCGAAAGATTTGCACGGTTGTAAGCAAACAAGTGAACTTAATATAAAGGATTTAAAAATAGTTCGTAGTTTCGATTTAAAGCTTTCGTGACTGCAGGGATTCATCTTCTTGGTTCTTTCGGTAAGGGAAGTAATAACATAATAAAAATTAAACATAATAAAATAATTCTCACGACGTTTCGGCCACAACGCAAGCAGCCGTCCTCAGGTGAAGACCAGGTCTGTCGGGGAGACAGCGTCTGAATAATTTTTATTATTGTATTATTTCCATTCTACGTGACTTTACCGAAAGAACCAAGAAGATGAATCCCTGCAGTCAAGAAAGCTTTAAATAGAAATATAATTAATTAGAGCGGGGAGTACGGGTAGGGTACGGGTACGGCCGGGTACGGGTACCCGTTCACGACCCTGGTGCGGCCGGGTACGGGTAGGCCGTGAGTCACTGGTGAGTCACCGTTTGTCACTCATTTCCCAACGTCTTGTCTCTTCTCACAATTCAAGTTCCTAGAATCAACCCACCCGCGCCTGCAACATGGCTTCATCCCAGAGGTCGCAATCAGGTACCCGATACCCGTACCCTACCCGTACCCGGCCGGCTAGGGTACGGGTACGGCCGGGTACGTGTACCCGTTTGCGACCCTGGTGCGGCCGAGTACGGGTAAGGAATCAAAACCCGTTTGCGACCTCTGAGCTCGACTCACCTGCGCTCCATCTCCCCGTCTCCCCCCCCGCGTCTCCCACCGTCTCCCGCCCCACGTGACCCCCCGTCTCCCCCCCCACGTGACCCCCCGTCTCCCCCCCCACGTGACCCCCCGTCTCCCCCCCCACGTGACCCCGGCTCGCCCGGGCGGCGGTACACGGCCCTGCGGTCCGAGCGCTCCCGGTCCACGAGTCTCGCCTCCTCGGGGTCCCGCGTCTCCTTGGCCGAGCAGCCCGCGTCCTGATCGTTGGTGAGCGTCAGGTCGGCGGGCATGGCGATGTTGTGACGGCTGATCAACTCCAGGGTGGCCGGGGAGCCGTGGGATGGGCTCGACTTCTGGACCTTGGGGTCGGCCACGTTCTGTGTTCTCCCGTCGTGGTGCTTGCCAGGACGGTGGATCAGCTGCAGGGCGAGAGAGTAAGGGGGTGAGTGGGTGGGTGGGTGGGTGAGCGGGTGAGTGGGTGGGTGAGTGGGTGGGTGAGTGAGTGGGTGAGTGGGTGAGTGGGTGGGTGGGTGGGGGAGTGGGTGAGTGGGTGGGTGAGTGGGTGAGGGGGTGAGTGGGTGGGTGAGTGGGTGAGTGAGTGAGTGGGTGAGTGGGTGGGTGAGTGGGTGAGTGGGTGAGTGGGTGGGTAGGTGAGTGAGTGGGTGAGTGGGTGGGGGAGTGGGTGGGTGATTGAGTGGGTGGGTGGGTGAGGGGGTGGGTGAGTGGGTGGGTGATTGAGTGGGTGGGTGAGTGGGTGGGTGAGTAGGTGAGTGAGTGGGTGAGTGGGTGGGTGAGTGGGTGAGTGGGTGAGTGGGTGAGTGAGTGGGTGAGTGAGTGAGTGGGTGAGTGTGTGAGTGGGTGGGTGAGTGAGTGAGTGGGTGAGTGAGTGGGTAGGTGAGTGGGTAGGTGAGTGGGTGGGTGAGTGGGTGAGTGAGTGAGCGGGTGAGAGAGGGAGTGAGAGATGGAAGGAGTGATTGACGAGGGAGTGAAAGACGAGGGAGTGAGGGAGGGAGTGAGGGAGGGAGTGAAGGAGGGAGTGAAGGAAGGAGTGAATGACGAGGGAGTAAAGGAGTGAAGGAGGGAGTGAAGGAGGGAATGAATGAATGACGAGGGAGCTCCCCACCAAACTCTGCTTGGCGTGTCGCTGCATCTTGGCGCTGAGTTTCTCGTGGCTCATGGAGCTCGTGTCCGCTTGGCCGATCATCAGCACCAGGTCCCCGTCCCTGTGGGGCGGGGGGGGGGCGGGGGGGCGGGGAGGAGGGGAGGGAGGGGAGGGGGTGAGGGGGGGAGAGGAGGGGTGGGAGCGGGTGGAGGGGGCGGAGGCGGTGGAGGGGAGGGAGGGGAGGGAGGGAGAGGAGGGGGAGGAGGGGGGGAGGGAGGGAGGGGAGGGGGTGGATGGAGGGAGAGGAGGGGGAGGAGGGGGCGGAGGGGGAGGAGGGAGGGGAGGGGGAGGAGGAGGGGGAGGAGGGGGAGGAGGGAGGGGGGAGGGAGGGGAGGGGGCGGAGGAGGGAGGCATCAGCGTTTCGTCTCTTTCTTTTTTATTTTTATTTACGCGATTTTATTTAACTCACTTCGTCTGTTGTATCCTCAAAAAATAAATCTTGTAACTCAATTTTTACACAATTCCCAATGTGCTATTGACTGCAATTCTTGGTATAGCTGCTATGTCATACTGATGCCAATACCATATTCTATCGTAATTTTTTAAAACTATCTTTTTACACGTTTTCTATGAACTCACTCTGTCTGTTGTTGTTGTTGTCTTATCCTCAAATCTTGTAACTCTCTCTACCCCCCTCTCTGAGTCTGTGAGTCTGTGAGTCTGTGAGTCTACGGGTCTCTGTGTGAGTCTGTGGGTCTCTGTGTGAGTCTATGGGTCACTCTGTGAGTCTCTGAGTCTATGAGTCTCTCTGTGAGTCTGTGGGTCTCTGTGTGAGTCTGTGGGTCTCTGTGTGAGTCTGTGGGTCTCTATGTGAGTCTGTGGGTCTCTGTGTGAGTCTATGGGTCTCTGTGTGAGTCTATGGGTCTCTGTGTGAGTCTGTGGGTCTCTGTGTGAATCTGTGGGTCTCTATGTGAGTCTGTGGGTCTCTGTGTGAGTCTGTGGGTCTCTGTGTGAGTCTGTGGGTCTCTGTGTGAGTCTGTGGGTCTCTGTGTGAGTCTATGGGTCTCTGTGTGAGTATATGGGTCTCTGTGAGTCTGTGGGTCTCTGTGTGAGTCTGTGGGTCTCTGTGTGAGTCTATGGGTCTCTGTGTGAGTCTGTGGGTCTCTGTGTGAGTCTGTGTGTCTCTGTGTGAGTCTATGTGTCTCTGTGAGTCTACGGGTCTCTGTGTGAGTCTGTGTGTCTCTGTGTGAGTCTATGGATCTCTGTGTGAGTCTGTGGGTCTCTGTGTGAGTCTGTGGGTCTCTGTGTGAGTCTATGTGTCTCTGTGAGTCTACGGGTCTCTGTGTGAGTCTATGGGTCTCTGTGTGAGTCTATGAGTCTCTGTGTGAGTCTATGAGTCTCTCTGAGTCTGTGGGTCTCTGTGTGAGTCTATGGGTCTCTGTGTGAGTCTATGGGTCACTCTGTGAGTCTATGGATCTCTGTGAGTCTACGGGTCTCTGTGTGAGTCTACGGGTCTCTGTGTGAGTCTATGGATCTCTGTGTGAGTCTATGGGTCTCTGTGTGAGTCTATGGGTCTCTGTGAGTCTACGGGTCTCTGTGTGAGTCTATGGGTCTCTGTGTGAGTCTATGAGTCTCTATGTGAGTCTGTGGGTCTCTGTGTGAGTCTATGGGTCTCTGTGTGAGTCTATGGGTCTCT